CTGTCCATTTTTAACCATGGTCTGACATGCACATACTGTCTTAGGAGTGATTGTTAGTGCTGAACTCACCAGCGAGCGTTTCAGAGCTAAATAATCCAGAGGTTTCCTGCAAAAGTAAATATAGAGAGTGCTACAGCCTGTGCTTGTGACAAATGTCAAGGCTTGGCAGACCAGGCCTCTGCTGGGCTCTGGACTCAGGGCTCCAGCCTCCGACAACCAGAAATCCCACCAACACCAAAGAGACTGTACACAGAAAAGCTCGCCCAGAAATCCCATCGCTTTTGGACCATGGCAGAATATTTCCCTCTACAGAGGTTGAAACAGAGTGTGAGTCACTTCCAAAATTATTTTGCAAAAGAAAAGTTAACATGTTTCCTTTAAAAAGAAAAATCCTATCAACACAATGCAGATTGGTGGTTGCCAGGGTCTGTGGGGGTTGAGGAATAGGGAGAAACTGCTTAATGCATAACAGGTTTTGCTGTGGAGCGACGGGAATGTTTTAGAACCAGGTAGAGAGGGTAGCTGTGCAGCATTGTGACTGTACTCCCTGCCACTGAATTGCAAAAATTGTTAGTTTTATTTCATGTGAATTTCACCTCAATAAATTATTGTAAAAATCATTTCAAGTGATTTTTCTCCCCTCTGGCTGGCAAAGCTCATCATCTTTGGGTGAGGGTGGTGGCACCTACAGTGGATGGTATAGCAGACAAAGCACAAAATTGGCACCAGCCTGACTAGTGTGCCCACTGGATGACCTAGGGCACGTTGTTTACTTACACTGTGTGGTCAAATGAGGCCGGTGATCTAGCTGTTTATTAAATAATCTGTACATTTTTCTGATGAACAAAGCAATCCTGGTATATTATAAAACAGCGGTCCCCAAGCTTTTTTGGCAGCAGGGACAGGTTTTGTGGAAGACAATTTTTCCACAGACCTGGGGAAGGGGGTTGGTTTCAGGATGATTCAGGTGCATTGCATTTATTGTGCACTTTCTTCCTATTATTGTTACATTGTAATATACCATGAAATAATTATACAACTCGCCATAATGTAGATTCAGTGGGAGCTTGTTTCTTTTCAACTAGATGGTCCCATTTGGGAGTGATGGGAGACAGTGACAGATCATCAGGCATTAGATTCTCATAAGGAGCATGCAGCCTAGATCCCTCACATGCACGGTTCACAGTAGGGCTCATGCTCCTAAGAGAATCTAATGCTGTGGCTGATCTGACAGGAGGTAGAGCTCAGGTGAGAATGTGAGTGATGGGAAGTAGCTGTAAATACAGATGAAGCTTTACTCACGTGCGCAATACTCACTTCCTGCCGTGAGGCCCAGTGAGGCCCGGTTCCTAACAGGCCACAGACAGGTACCAGTGCCAGTCCATGGCCTGGGGGTTGGGGACCCCTGTTATAAATTTGATATAAAATAAGGCAAATAAAAATCATCCAGAACTTCACTACTCAGAGGTGACATTTTGCATTTTGTTGTCTAGCCGTCTAACCCTTTTCATATCCATGTATATTTTTAAGTATTTTAGATCTGCATGCTTTTCTTAGCCAGTCCTTTGTTCTTGGACTCTGCCTGTCCTGGGCCATGTCAGTAAGAAGCTTGCAGACACCTCCCTCCTTCATGCTTAGGGAGCATTTCCTGGGGTGGGAGTGGGAATTGGAAAGATGTTTGAATCGCCCACCATTGGGATTTGCTCTTTTAAATCTCTCAGTTTCTGTTCCTTCCTTTGTCTTCACAGTTTTTATTAAAACAATGCCAGTTTTCCATCTCCTCTGCGGCATCTGTTTATTCTCTTTGACTTTCAGAAAGCTTAACATATGACTCATTTGAGTGTGCGTGTGTGTGCGTCTTTGTGAAGCAATTCAGAGTAAAAGAGAAGTGAAGTCGGGAATAATTACTGAACCTGATTCTTCTGTGAATGTTTCAATGAGAAATAAATCTTGTTTACCATCACAGGAATTTGCAAGTTTGCTACAAGCCAAACAGAAAGACTGGTCCAGGGCTGTGAATGTGGTCAGAGCCCCTTCCAGTTGGAAGCAGCAGCTCTTTGCAGCCCTAGTAACAGGAAGTCCACGTGAGTGCGCTTGGGCCCTGCGGGACCTGACAGACCCAGGTACCTTTCACGCAGCAGGTGCGGAGCAGGTCAGCCCTGTCAGCCAATGGAGTCAGACATTCCCAGGCTCATCTCTCCTTCTAGGACTTACTGCCACCTCTCCAAGTCCCTCTCTTCAGCTTGCTGGTGCCCTCCTTACCCTCCTCCCAGCCATTAATATCCATCCATAGCCTCCTGTCACCAAGGGCAGCTGATAGCATCCGACTCACCACAGACAAGTGACTAACCCCCACGTGAAGGGTCGCTCCTCTCCAGCATGAGACAACAGAGTGACTAAAACAACTAGATCTCCAACAGTGGAGCCTAAGGCACCGGTGAGAGCTCAGTGAGGAGGAAGCCACCATTCTCCTTATCCAGTGAGTGAGGAGGCTGCTAAGTAGACTTCAGGAAGCACAGTCTGGGATGGTCCCTGGATATCTGTCTCCTGGAGTCACACTGGAGCCTGCTCTAGGACCTGGACCAAAGTCTCCTGCCTAGGTCTCTTCCCACCCCGCGCTACCTCTACCTGCGGATTTTCTACCTGGATTATTAACCACTCAGAGCAAACCCCACAGAGAAGGGAGTCTCCCTCCAGGGGCACTCAGAGGCCCAACGTGCCAAGCTTCCTGAGATGGACTGTCCCGTATTTGTCTCAGTCGACTTCATTTGTGGCTCTTTGTAGCTTTCAGTTTACCAAAAAAAAAAAAAAAAAAAAAAAAAAATCAATGAGCAAGTCCACATCATCACTGGCTTCTAAGAGTCCCCCCAAACCCCAGTGTAACCTTGCCTTCCACAGCAGCAGCCCTCATCCACAGTTTCACTTTCTGAGGTTTCTGTTACCCACAGTAAACCAAGGCCTGAAAATAGTAAATGGAAGATGCCAGAGATGGACAGTTCATGTGTTTTCAATGGTATTCCATTCTGAGCAGTGTCATGAAATCTCACACCGCCCACTCCATCCCCCAGACAGGAATTGTCCCTTCGCCCAGCTCATCCACACTCTGGATCCCACTTAGCAGGTGTCTCAGTGATCAGATTTTCAAGCCGCCCTTATTTTACTTAATAATAGCCCTAAAGCACAACAGTGATGGTGCTGGCAATTGTTATAATTATTCTATTTTATTATTAGATAATAATAAAATTATCTAATTGATAAATTAAGCTTATCGTAGGTATATATGCATATAGGAAAAAGCACAGTACAGGTAGGGTTTGGTACGCTCTGAGGTTTCGGGCATCCACAGGTATCTACAACTGTACATGGAATGAAAGTTCCGATTCTGAGAAGCAACCTGGAACAAGACAGGCCATCAGCACTTCCTGACTCCGGCCCTCAGTGGGGTGGCGCTCCCCACAAGCAGGGATCCCCGACACCACCTTGCCAGACACTGTGCATCTGGGAGGCTTCTCAGCGAGACAGACCCCGGAAGCAGGAGCAGTGGAAATGAGGCCCCCCAGTAGCGGCGTGGCTTTGGTGAAGCAGCCTTGGAAAAAGCGGCTCTGCTGGGGGCTTTCACAGAGTGGCTGCCTCTCCTCCTAAACCCAGATCCAGGCCTTGGTGTCCAGTCCTCCCTGCACAGGATGGTCTCACTGGAAAACTCCTAACTTAATGATATCTGCGTGCCCATGCTGGGAGCTTTCATAGAGTGGCTGTCTCTCCTCCTAAACCCAGATCCAGGCCTTGGTGTCCAGTCCTCCCTGCACAGGATGGTCTCACCGGAAAACTCCTAACTTAATGACATCTGCGTGCCCACCATGGGGCAGCAGCCCCATCACACCTTGGTGAAAAACTCTCTCTCCAGCGAGTAGAGGGACCATGTCTGGAGCCCAGGATGCTCTCTAGGATGTCTCTTAGCACTTCCACCCCCTGTAGCAAAGGGTGATATAAAATTACAGCAACCAAAGAAGAGGCAGCAGGATCAAAGATCCAGACACTTTATGAATGAATGTCAGGGTCACTACACTAGGCAAAGGACCGCACGAGTGGAGTTTCTAGCTAAAGCTGGGGAAATGCAGAACAAGTCATTGACAAACAAAGCCAAATATGTCAACTATGGCCTCATAACCAATACAGAAACAAGTAGTTTTGCACATTTTTTCTTCTCTGTGTGTTTTTATTTAGATGTCCTAACCATTTTCTTTTTCTCTCCTACCTGTATTTATTTATTTTTTTATTTTTTTTTTTTTGTTACCCAGAAAATTTTTTTTGAGACAGTGTATGAGTCTGCCACCCAGACTAAAGTGCTATGGTGTGATCCCGGTTCACCACAACCTCTGCCTCCCAGGTTCAGGCGATTCTCCTGCCTGAGCCTCCAGAGTAGCTGCAGTTACAGGCACCTGCCACCATGCCTGACTAATTTTGTATTTTTAGTAGAGAAGGGGTTTCGCCATGTTGGCCAGGCTGGTCTCGAACTCCTGACCTCAGGTGATCCACCCACATTGGCCTTCCAAACTGCTGAGATCACAGGTGTGAGCCACTGCACCTGGCCCCACCAATGTATTTTTACATGCAAGTTGATTTGGCCTCTAAGAACAGAATATGCAGTGGTCCTGGGCCACATCCTTTCCCAGGGGTACCTGGGGTGGGGTGCTTTTCCTCAGTGTGTTCCTTCCCCAGGGCCCTGCCTCAACCCTGGAGGCAGTACTTGCTCCCTGCACTGCTGTTCCGTGCATTCTTTATCCATTAGGAGCTCGTCTCTTTTCCGAGTTAATAATTAGAGTAAATGCTCCCTGGTCAGTTAACGGATGTGATTTTTCTCATGACTAGGCCTTCGTCTAATACAAATGGTATTGTATGAATGTCTTAGTATAAAGGCAAACTTTATAAAAAAATAAAATAAACCTCCTCAAATGCAAAAATACCTACTGAGAAATAGAGAAGACACAAATTACAAAGACTGAATAGGGAAAGACAATTTATACAGATAATCTGGTAGAACCGAGGGCACACATTAATCATCTTAATAAATGTCCATTTTCAATCACTCTGCATCCTGTAGCCATGCTGGGGACAGGGAAAACGCCAATGCTTCTTCCTTCTTCTTTGCTTTCTGACTCAAAGAGATTTTAGTACACCGTGGGATCCTGAATGTGGCCACAGTTGAAAGAAATAATGAGTTGCATAGTTGGATTTCAAAGTGCAAAAAGCCTGTAAGACAAATATTCCTTTTAAGCATTTTACAGATGAAGAAAATGACTTCCCAACATTTACAGTTGGTTAACAGCAGACCCAGAATTTAAAACTAGAACTTCTCTATAAATCCAAGTACAGAAGCTTGTCCTTGTACCTCAACCTTCCTCGAGAGGGAGAGTTGCTTGGCACTTTCCGCTCACCACAAATGGAATCATCTCATGGATTATTTTTATTGTAATGAGAATTATCATGAAATCAGAGAGAAATGACATTCATAAATTGTTTGTGACTTTGGCATTTTATTTCTCCATCTTCAAATCCCCAATTCCTCTAAAGTATAAGCCATATTTGTCTTGCAAATCCTAGCTCTGTAGGAAAAACAAACAAAACAAAACACAATCTTTGAAACATGTGTGTTGCCCTTAAAAACAAACAGCAATCATGGCTGCCTCAGTCATGGAAAGTCTGAATATCTTCACAATGCATAATTCAAACACATCAGAATATGTTTTGTTTTAAAATTTTTCCCCAAAGTTGTCTCCTACTGGTTTATATCTTTAACATGTGCATTCGTCTGATTTTTAGCAACTGGTGCTCAGTGTTACATATGCATCGGAGGAGGAGGATTTGAGGAGAATTAATTAATTTTCTAAGATGTTCCATGTGTTCTTGTTTGCTGAGAATTTCTTTAAGGGGCATATGTGTTGAAAAAAAACTGTCTACTTTTTTACTCAGTACTTAGCACGACGTGACCTACCAGAAGCGGGATGACCACAAAGAGCAAGTTATGCTTCCTGGCTTTTAGGAAACAACTACCTTCGTGGCGTTTTGTCGGGATGTTGCATCTGGAAGGTGATCCGAGGGGCAGGCTCCTGGGATTCAGTAGTGCCTTTCCCCTGCACCCCATTCCAGGCAGGGCTCTAAGGACAGACCCATCCAGTTCTAAGCACCGAAACTGACCAGTCCAGTAAGGAAGCCAAGAGCATCCCATGCATCACTAGAGTGACCCCGGACGCCCAGGAAGACAATGAAAATCTTCTTCCACATCCTTAGGCTCACGACTGCAAGCCAACCACAGATGGACAAATGTGCCAGAAATCACAGTGCCTGGGGACGTGCAGGTCACAGATTGATAGAATTTTCTGGAAAAGTGGAGCTACCCAGAAAACTTTTTTTTTCAACTTTCTCATTTAAAATATTTTAATTCACTTCTCTGCCTTGATTTGTAAAGGAAAGGATTTATTTTATAATCACATATCTTAAGTGGTCCCAGAGAACTAGGGAAAGAAACATTCTCACAGCACCAAACAGGTAGCTATAGAGATGTAGACATTGGACTAAATGTGTCAGAGTTTTCTTTCTTTTAATGAATCCTCAAGATAAATTTGATTCCTCATGCTTTTCTTCTTTCTCCTGAAAACAGAATGTACTGACTTTTGGCCTGGCACAGAGGCTCACGCCTGTAATCCCAACATTTTGGAAGACCAAGGCGGGTGGATCACCTGAGGTCAGGAGTTCGAGACCAGCCTGGCCAACATGGCGAAACCCCATCTCTACTAAAAATACAAAAAATTAGCCAGGTGTGGTGGTGGGTGCCTGTAATCCCAGCTACTCAGGAGGCTGAGGCAGGAGAATCGCTTGAACCTGGGACGCGGAGGTGGCAGTGAGCCAAGGTCGTGCCATTTCACTCCAGCCTGTGCAACAAGAGCTAAACTCTGTCTCAAAAAAAAACAAAAAAAAAAACAAGAAAACAAAAACAAAAAAAAAGAATGTCCTCACTTTTTTCTTCCATTTCATTGAAGGCTTCCAACATTTGAATTCAAAGAGTTTCAAGGTCTCTTGCCTATAAATCGAGTTGTACATGTGGGCTAACATGAATCTTTCCACAAACATTAGATTCAAGGTGGAGATGGACCAAGAATTCTATTTTAATAACAACTGAAGCATTGGGAAAAGTTAATATTCAGAACCTGAGCTGTCAAGAGCTGCCAGGGAAAGTGCTCTGAAGACAAAGAGATGCTTTGTTCTTATTCTCAATTGCACCTCGAAGCTGAGCACATCTCATTCAGACAAACAGAAAACTGAAGAAAATTCACCTCTGAGTGAGATCAAGTAGAGCAAATTTGAGCCTCAAAGGGAAGATTTGCCAGAGGCCTCAGGCGAGGAAAAGCAGGTAATCCGAAGGCAGCTCTGAACTGTGCCTAATATGCTCAGAGCTTCTCAAAAGAATGGGAAGGCTGTCCTTCCAGTGGGGACGGAAATGTTGCTTTTCTTGCTTAAGCCACCTGGCGATGCAGTTTGTTTCATCTCTGGGCCCCTCTTCCTCACCCGCAGAGTGTCGCGGCATAGTCATTCTGGAACCACCAGCGCCCGTGAGTCGCCTCAGGTGAGGCATGGACTGAGGTGCAGAGTGGGTGAACACCTTCCTTCGCTGTGCGGCACCAGCAACGCTGCATCTGTGCAGGGACTCACCACGGAACACAGCCGCCACGACCCTTGGCAAACACTGCTCTGGCTGAAGGCTCCCGGACCCAGCGACAGCACTTGACTGCAGGCTGTGAGGCATCTGCAGCCACGGTCTCTCACAACGGGCATTCTTCCGGCCTTCAGATATGTAGGCTCCAACCCACAGTGAAGGCAACACGCAGAGGATGCTGCCCACCCCTTCCCTGGGACCTGCCAGACAGCCCTGCCCTTGGGCAGAAGCGAGTCCTGCACCCAGGGGAGGGCCACGTCCTGGATCCCGCGTGTCAAATGTCTCCTGGCTGAGCTGGAAAGTCCTTTGCTCACAGGTTGTGACACCTTGCATCGTGGTGCCTGCGGCTTCCCCAGAGAAACCACACCATCTTTGGGATCCCCAACACACAGCGCCCAGTGCTGTCTCCTGATATTTCACGGCCACCCTTCCTTCGCGGGGCGTCAGCTCTCCAAAGACAGAAGACGTTCAATGGCCACCGAGGCAGGCAGCACCAGCTACAGACCATCAAGCCTATTAATCAACCGCTGCCTAAATCACAGTTACTCACATCCACACATGACTGTCAACGTGTCCAAGCGACCGTTTTCAGGACAAAAGAAAGGGCTCAGGGGACAGATTCCCAAAGTCTTCGAAAGTCAAGTGCGCTGCTTCTGCGCCCATCTCACGCAGAATGCCAAGCGGGACGTGTATTTTCATCCATGCCACACGGCTTTACCATAAAGCAGTACGTGGGCCCCAAAATGAACCAAAACACACTGGGCTGCAGAGGCCGTCTTGGGCCGCCACTGCCTGCCTCTGAGACCCTGGGCAATTTACTGGTCTGAGCCTCGGGCTCTAGTCTCCCAGGATAAGACCGGCCCACCAGGCTAGCAAAGGACTCACACAGGGCGCTGTAGGTGAAAGGCCTGGAGAATTGCAACTTGGACCACAAAAAGATCCTCTGGGGTTTCTTTTCATTTTTTTTTATATTGAATGACTTAAATGTATTTGGAAGCTTAATTGGAGAAAAGCAAATTCCAGCCTTGCAGGCTCTGTTTTTCTTAGAATGCAGGTCAAGCAGAGGTAGACCAGGCTTAACCACCTGCAGCGATGAGGCCTCACGCCAGGGACAAACCCGCAGACAACGCGATTTTGTGAATCACGACCACAGACACACTCAGTAAAGCACTGCAAGTGCAGGTAGAATTCTAGAGCCAAGACACCTCTCACACAGATGTGTCTGTAGATTTGAGTAATTTAGACATAAAAATTAAAGCACCATGGCCATCAGGCAGCATTTTGTCCACTGCTCCTCACCCAAAGCTCATCTGGGAAACAAACTGCCCCATGAGACTACTGTGTCCCGTGTAGACCTGTTAGGGGAGCCGCCCTGGCTTCTCAGCTGCCTGCGCACATGGGCACGGCCGGAGGCAGAACGATCCATGAGCAGGCGGTCAATGTCTTTCCAATCCATTCTCACTTGACGGAGTGTGTGGAGCACCCTCTGACCGTCATCTTGATTTTCCTCTTGCCCCACTGGACACCACTGGACTTTGACTTTTGCTGGCGGGACTTGGGTCACCCACCTCAAGACACCTCTTCCACTCTTGACGTGAGATCCTGGGTCTCGCTGGGTCTGGCAGCTGGGTGCAGAGGCCATTCTGTGCCCCAGGCTCAGCGCTTGCCCTCCAAATGTCCACCTCAATTCCAGGCAACTCCATTTTCCTGCCTTAGTCCCTTACTCCTGGTTTCCCAGAACGTTCCTGCAGTCCCTCCTCCCAGTTTCAACCTTGTTCCCTTGCCTGACCCCCGGGCTATTGTTGCCAATGTGTGGATGATCTGAGCCACCCCCAGCCCCCTCTGCTTCAGGGCTTGCCCGAGGAGCAGGCTGCCCTCGCTGCCCCAGGAGCAACCCATCATGGTCCCCACTTCCGGCCAATACAATAACCAGTCCTCTGGCTTACGTGCCCTGTGGGGACTGTCATTCTTTTGCTCCCATCTCCACACCTTGCCTTCAACATGGCAGGAGCTTAGGTGATGTCCTTTCTTTTTTTCTTTTTTCTTTTTTTTTTTTTTTTTTTTTCTGAGACAGAGTCTCACTCTGTCACCCAGGCTGGAGTGCAGTGGCACTATCTCGGCTCACTGCAAGCTCCGCCTCCTGGGTTCACGCCATTCTCTTGCCTCAGCCTCCCAAGTAGCTGGGACTACAGGCACCTGCCACCACGCCTGGCTAATTTTTTGTATTTTTAGTAGAGACGGGGTTTCACTGTGTTAGCCAGGATGCTCTTGATCTCCTGACCTTGTGATCCACCCACCTCGGCCTCCCAAAGTGCTGGGATTACAGGCATGAGCCACTGCGCCTGGCCGGTGATATCCTTTTCAATCTGAACAGCATGAGCCTTCCTGAAGTGCACCTGAGAGACTGGCTCTCTGCCCAGGCTGCCACTGGACTAGGGCCACTGTGGGCATGACCAAGTGTCCATTGGATCAGTGGGATTTTTTGCTGAGTAACAAATCACCACAACCTCAATGGCGTTAAACAACACACACTTGTCTCACAGTTCCTTTGGTCTAGGAGTGCAGGCACATCTCCCGGAGGATGGGCACGGCTCATGCCACATGGCCCTCTCCATAGACATCCCACAATGTGGTGGCTTCCTTCTTCCAGGTCAGCAGGTGAACATCTCCCAGAAGTCAGCTATGACAGAGTCTCATCGAATGAAACAAGAGGAAGGCACCTGCCAACCCTGTGCCATATCTGTGGGTCAGAAGCAAACTGCAGGTCACCTTCACCCTCAGCGGAGGAGATCACACAAGGAGGCAGGAACCAGGGGCACCCTAGGGCACACCCACCACACCGTTCTTCCTGGATGAGGTATTCTTGGTGGTTTCATTGGTCTTCTGGGTGTTTCCTTGTTGAAGGGTTCTGGAATGCAAGCTCTCAAAGACCACAGAGTTATACCTGGAAAGTTGGAGGGGCCTGGGAAGTGATGGAGTCCGCCCCCTCCATATAGACAGGAGGACTGAAGCTAAGGGGAGTGAAAGCACCTGTTACAGCTCACAGATCTTGTTGGAGTCAAAGTTGGGATTGAAATCTAAGCACCCCCTTCTATTGCACCCCTCTAAAGAAGCACTACTGCCGTATCTCTAATTCAATGTCACTTTGCCTTCTGCCAGAGGAGACGAGTCGGCATTCTCCATCATTTCCAAGCCGGCACCATTTGTCCCTTCTCAGCTACAGCACATCGCTCATTCCAGGTCCCAATACTTTGCTTTCTGAAAGCTCTAAACTGATAGAGATATTATGGAGGGCTAAGATTTGTGTCACTTGTTCTGCTGCACATCTGCATGGATAATAACAGTCACGGGAGGCTCAGCTGGGCGCTCCTGGAGGGAGATGCGTTACATGGGAGTCATGCGAGGCAGGGGAAAGTTGCATAGGAAATAGCAATCTCTCCTGGGATCTGATAATAATTTAAACATTCCTTTGAGACATCTGAGATTCGTAGAAAGGAGGGGAAAGTTGCTAACACAGAAAGAATGTGAGCAATAAAGCAAGCGTCCGGGAAAGCACTGGCTGCCTCCACTGGGGAGCAGATGTCCCTGCTGCAGCCTGGCCACTGTCACCACATGCCAATGCTGTATCACTCACACAGTGTAGCCGTTACACCTGCAGGCCTGAAACAAAACAGGAACCAACAGGCAGGAATAAGCAAGCAGCCGCCATGCCGCATGGCAGTGTTCTCCGTCTACAGTGGCTGCAGTAGCTCCATGCGTGTGCGTGGAGTTGAGATCCCTCAGAGGGTCCCGTGAGCCGTGGGCCTGGCCTCGCCTGTCAGGCTGGCCAGGGTCACATGTTGATCCTGCTCCAGTTCTTCCTGGTCTTTTCAGGAAGACAGAGAAAATGAGCAGATGGGAAACAGAAATCCTCCTTGTGGATGAGGACTTGAAAAACATTTTTAGATACCTAGCTCAAGCACCCAAATTAGGTGTGTTTCGATTAAAGTAAATTCTCTGGCCATTCTACTCCCCACCCCACAAAACAAGAACCTCATAAAAAGCCTTCCGGCAACTTCTAACCAGTGTTCACTGTGCCCCCTCACCCCCACCCTCCTGGGACATCTGTTTGTGCGAGCAGATTGCATTCCGCTGATGTATTCACCAGATGAGTGGGACGTGCCCCTCGGCCTAAAAGAGTTGAGTGTGTGCTGGGGTGGGTGGTTGCGGGGGACACAGATGTCAACCAAACGTTTTTAGTGCACAGAACCTCTGACGCACAAGTGTCTGCTGATGTTAATTCGGGGTGGCATCTCTCCCCATGACTCACCAGTGGGTCCAGCCGCCCACTGACCTCTGAAGCCGTTTGGGCCCTCCAGAGTGTGAAATTTCAATTTCTACATCAGAGCTTTGTATGTCAGTCCTGGAAAAGATGCTTTATGTGAGAGCAAGGTTGATGTTTTCCAGGTCAGCATTTCGGCTGGGGAAAGCGGAGAGAGAAAGAAAGCACTCATGTCTGCCAGGCACACATCAAGTTTGTAAACACAGCATTCTCCCAGCACTGGGGTCTACTTGAGAGTGGAGGGTGGGAGGAGGGAGAGGAGCAGAAAAGAGAACTGTTGGGTACTGGGCTTCATACCTGGGTGATGAAATCATCTGTACAACAAACCCCCATGACACGAGCTCACTTATGTAACAAACCTTCACGTGTACCCCTGAACCTGAAGTAAAAGTTTACAAAAAGACCCTGTTCTCCAAACTCACGTGAAAGTGCTGAGCTGCATCCAAACACTGGGGATTCCCCAAAATGCCAGGTGCCTGCATTTGACCCTCTGTCCAGCTGGACGTGAACGCAGGCCCAAGAGAGAACGGAGCCCACAAGAGGCTGGGTTGCCTTTGCGTTGCCCTCAGAAGAGGGAGGGCGGGTTGGCGTGGTTACCCAAGATGGTAGCCTCGGCAGGGCCTTTATCCCACGTGGGCCCAGACAAATGGCTTCACCTCTCTGTTTGCTCACTGCAAGGTGCCCCCACGCCTGTGCCCGCCCGGCCTCCCAGTGTGTGCTGTCTCAGGCCCAAAGGAGCTCTTCCCTCCAAACGGGACCAGTCAACACAAAAACCACCTGACTCTTTACTCTGGGGAAGGACGTTAAAGATGCCCCGTCCATGTCTGTGGGATGAAACCACTATGTGCCCTCCTTCCAGCACTCGTAGTGCTGCCACGATGGAGGGGGAATGGGACGAACTGGGAGACATCACTCTCATTGGAGGGGCAACCTTGGCCCCTCCTCCCTCTGGTCACATCCACTAGTCTCCAAGAGTCCCTTCCTGGCACCGAGCTCTATGATGCAAATCTGATGGCTGCAGGGTCATCTGTCCGAAACAGTGGAGTTTGTGGGGCCTCCCTGCATTGTGAATGGTCACAGTCACTCTCTGCTGTCAGAGGGGACCCCAGCACAGCTGGAAAGTCATGTCAGCTCTTGGAGAAAACTCTGTAAACCAGCCGGTTCTGTCCACAAATGGAGGATTCTGGGGCATTGGGTACCCAGGCTAGACCTACTGGCATCTGAAACTAATGTCATGCTGGTAATGATGGGGTCACCTGAAGAATATCGAGGCAGTAAATTAATCAGGACTCAATGGTTAACCAGACAGATGGAATGAGGAAGGAGAAAGAGTTTAGGGTCCCTCTTAGCAGAGGGTCTCAGCCACTGAGGAGGAGAGTGCACAGAGGGCAGGAGGAGGTGGTGATGTGACCTTCCCAGGAGCTGCAGGTGTCTCTGTGACAGCTAATTCCCCAGAGCTGGAGAGCTCGATTCTGAAGCCGTTAGACTCAAAGGATTCAGCCAGGGTGTTTTTTACTGTAGGTTTTTTTCATGAGTAGTCTGGCCTGAGATATGTTATTTGCATTTTACTTAACTATATTTACTGCTGGCTAGGAGGTGAAAATTCAGTGCACATGAATCTAAGGTGATGTAATTAGAAGCAACAACACGGGACAAGTTGAGTTCCTGAGCCAGTGGCCCCCAAATAAGAAGCGACACCCTGCAGGCACAAGGTAACTCTCCAGGGTATGGGAAAAATATTAGGTTTTTACAAACAAGAAATTAAGCTTTACCAATATCTAAAATATACATTGAGTGACGTATGTGTAAAATGTATACAAAACTGAATGTAATGCGCACCGGTAAGGATCTGCCGTGACCAGTGTCTAGGAAGGGCGAACTGACTGACAAGGGAGGTGACGTGCTGGGCATCCGGCCGCTGCCCCGGTGAGCACTCTCCGAGCTTCATCTAGTAAGAGGAGGAGAACAACAAAAAAGAATATGAGTAACAGAGGGGCCTTTTCGTTTATAAAAGAGTAAGATTCTACTTTGGAAAACTCTAGGAAAAAAGTTAATATTGAATAGAATAATCTCTCACAGCCTTGGATCCCGAAGCTTCCGTGGCCTCTCAGCACAGCAAATATGGCTGCTTGTTGGGGCCTGAGGGCTTCTGTGTAGTATCTGGAGGATTCCCCCACACACACCCCCTTCATGTATGCACACCCCTCCACACCCACCCCCACACACAACACATACACCCTTACACAACACACAACCCATCACACATACCACATCCCACTTACACACTGCATACACCACACACATCACACTACACACATCACACACCCATAGCACACATACTGCACACACTACACACACATCACACACCCATAGCACACATACTGCATACACCACACATATCACATACTACACACACATCACACACACACCCACCACTTCATATCACATACTACACACACATCACACACACACCCATAGCACACATACTACATATACCACACACATCACACTCACACACATCACAAACACACCGCACACGCATCCCTGGTTGGGAGAGTGTCGGGATCTGGCTAAGCCGATGGAGGGGGCTCCAGCCCCACACTCTGTACTTCAAGTGGGAAAGGAGAGACGTCTACCTGAGATCCCACCTGAAGAAGGGGTCCCGTGGCCACATGAAGTGGTCCCGGAGAGGGACCCCCTTTGGGCATGGCCAGGTCCCTGCACATGCTTTCCAGGTGCATGGGGCATTTTGATGGTACTCACCATCCCCGAGGCTGGCGTGGGTTTCCCCTCCCCAGGGCCAGCGCCCTTGAGAGCCAGCTCAGACTCATTGCCTTCTCCCTGGCGTCTGGGTGGACAGGTCCTGGCCCTGGCCCCTAAGGACCCCCTCACCCTCGGCACTGCCAGCACCACCGCTGGTCACTGGAAGAGCATGGAGCTCCCCGTGTTGGCAGAGTCCAGGAAGGTCGCTCTCTTGCACAGTGCAGGCCGAGAACCTCTGCTGCAGGCAGTGGTCAATATTCCAGGCATGGAATGATCTCCAAGTTGGGTCGAGCCCTGGTTCTGCCACTTCCTGGCACGTGTACCTGAGCCACAGTCTTCTCTGTCAAATGGGGGAGCCACTACTGTGCCTGGCCACTGTGTTGGTGAAGAAAATCACGCTCAAAGCCAAACCAGCCCTCCGGAAATAGCAACCATGTCATTCCTTCAGACACTTCTAAATACACACAGAACTGGGGCGACGTAAAAGCAAGTAGAAATCAGCTAAAAATAAAATCAAAAGGTTGGTGACATGTGCTCAGGTCCTGGATGGTCCTAAGGAGACAGGCGGCCTCAGCCTGGTCTCCTGCCCATCAGCAGTGGAGCCGGGGAGGGGCGCCAGTGTCCGGATTCCAAGGCCTTTCTGCCGTTGGTGAAGTAGTTGATGTGCCATCAGTTGTGCTTAACCTCCCTCATGCCTGTCTCTGAGTAATATTCAATGTCAGCCCTAATTAAATCCAGGAGCACTTTTCCAACTGAAAGAAGAGATAATGGCCTGTGCTGGGCTGAACAACTGTCTCCTCTGGGCCCAACAATCCCATGTTTGATCAATAAACTGAGCAGCCAGAGGCACTGACCAAGGGTAGGAATTTCAAAGTCTGGTTGTTGTCCCTGCCCAGGAGAAGGCCTGGCAGGAGGCAAGGATGTTCTAGGGAAACATCCTCCCCAAGGCCCCAGCCTGAAGAGATGCCACATAGTCAGTCTTGCAGCGTGCCCCGTCATCACGATGCCCAGGCTTGTAACATCCATTTCCTCCTCACAATAACCTGCAAGGCAGAAGTTACCATTTGCTATAAATGCCCAAACAGAGCTACAGATGGTCCCGTGACCTCAGCCAGGGTCTCACTGTGGGGAACTGTCTGTTCAAACCCAGGTCTGTCTGGCTTACAAAGTTGTATTTCTACCCACAGCACTGCACTGATGATCCGCACATTAGTTTAATCAATTGTATGCCCGGCTCTGCGAAGAGCCTGGGGAAGCAGAGATGGCAGTGGGCACCTGGGGGGAGGAAGCAGTGACCAAGCGCCCCTCCCCCATCCCAAATCGCCATCTTCCTCTGCACTGTGTAGTCCTGGGCCTCTTTTATTAACCCTCAGCCACCCCTTCTGCCACTATTAGGCATTCTTAGACTTCACCACGGACAGGTGCCTCGGGGCTCAGCAGGGAAGGCCAGGCCGGAGTCAGCTCCATACCGGGTGTGTGCTGTTCACTCTTAGGGGGCTCCAAATGCCTGCCCAGCCGGCCCTCCCTCCCTGTGCCTGCAATGGTGCAAGCCCCCCTTGCAAGCATGCCCCTAAACACAGATTTCCAGCCGACTGAAAACTATTATCAGGCCCAGTGCAGTGACTCACACCTGTAATCCCTGCACTTTGGGAGGCCGAGGGGGTGGACGGATCACTTGAGGCCAGGAGTTCAAGACCAACCTGGCCAACATAGCAAAACCCCATCTCTACTAAAAATAAAAAAATAGCCCACCATGGTAGTGCACACCTGCAGTCCCAGCTACTTGGGAGGCTGAGGCGGAAGGATTGTTTGAACCCGGGAGGTGGAGGTTGCAGTGAGCCTAGATCAGGCCACTGCACTCCAGCCTGGGTGACGGAGTGAGACTCTGTCTCAAAACAACAACAACAACAACAACAACAACAACAACAACAACTATTGTCATGGTGGTGGTAGTGTCTGATAGATTAACAAAGATGAGTTTATTTCATTCAGCAATGAACTATGTGTTCCCCATGAAATAACAAGGACAATTGTATTTTCCCAATAAGTGAATAGGAGCATAAAAAGTAATATGCTGTTTAAAGTAAAATATTGAACAAATTAAAAATTATCAAATGCCAAGAAAGTCCAGGCTTTCACCCAGTTGAAACTAATACACCCTAAACAGAAAAAGAGACTAGATTTCATGGGAGAAACAACATTTTTAGGACACGGGAGTGGAACATGGATTGCATTCCAACAGTGCTTCCCACTCTGGAGTCTGCAGAAGAGTTGATGCTCGCTGTGGTGCTATGGAAAACAGTATGTTGGCTCTGAAAAGGTCGAGAAGGCTCCCGTAACCCAAAGGTAAACACTTCACTGCAGGATTGCTGTAAGCCTTCAGCGTGCTAACGAGCACAGTCAAGCTGAGGGAGGTAAATGGAATATACGGTTTCCAAATTTGTTTGACCGCAAGGATCCTTTGCATGTGAGTAGTAGTGACAGCGGGGAAGCCATCTGTTGATGGATCCCAGAAGACCGTTCAACAGAACCGAGTTTAGGAAATTCTGCATTGGACTCATGCCAGTCCCAGAGGGTACAGGACGATGCAGTCTCTCGGAATCACTGGGCATGGTCTTCCCAGATCTGCTAGAAGATGACAAGACCTCACCTGGAACAAGATCTGGCCTGAAGCAAGACCTGCAGTTTCCCAGGAGGGAACAGCCACAGTCAGCCTTGAACATCCCCACTTCCTGCTGCTCTCACGTGAGCTTCTGCCTTACATTTACTTAGAGTTAGTAAGTCTAATGCCCTTACCTTGTCATCAGCAACTAACAAAGGTGATTGGCATGGCCTTAGTGAACGGCCCAGGCTTCCCAAAGTCACCCTCGTTGCCAAGTGCTGCATGATTTTTTTTATTTTTTATTTTTTATTTTTTTGAGGCAGAGTTGCCCTCTTGTCGCCCAGGCTGGAGTGCAATGGCACGATCTCAGCTGACTGCAACCTTCGCCTCCCAGGTTCAAGCGATTCTCCTGCCTCAGCCTCCTGAGTAGCTGGGATTACAGGCACCTGCCACCATACCCAGCTAATTTTTGTCTTTTTAGTTGAGACGGGGTTTCTCCACATTGGACAGGCTGGTCTTGAAAGCCTTACTTCAGGTGATCCTCCCACCTCGGCCTCCCAAAGTGCTGGGATTGCAGGCATGAGTCACTGCACCTGGCCAAGTTCTGCATGATTCAAAACACAGGTTTAAGGGTTTGAGTGTGTGAGACCCCCGTGCTCTGCCACTCCTCCTAAGCCTCCTGCCTGCACTTGCCACAAGGCCTCCAGGTGGACATGGAGTCCAGGCTGTGGTTACAATGCCAAAGCGATTAGGCTCTCCATGAGTGTCGGTGCCATTAAGGGACATTGATTAGGACACTCTACTCTTTCAATAGATTTTCAGTTAAAAGGAAGAAAAGATTGAAGACCATTCTGCCCTTAATTACCCATGTGGCCACTGGATGAGCCACTGAAATCCTCAGGCTCTCAGAATTCTAATCCAAACACTGATTCTCACAGTCCCTTAATCAAAATAAATGCACACACCCAGATACAATGGGATGTATCTCTTCCAACAGCTTTCCCTCTGCCGTAAGGATATCCATCACTAACTGAGCTGTCACTGAGAGCCAGGCTGGGTGGACATTTTAAATCTTTATTTTACTTAACCTCTCAGCCGCTCTATCAGGAGGCGAATGCGACCTCAGAGCCATTTGGCCTCAATTTGAGGTGCCCCGGCAATGTGCTGTGCAAACTGCAATCCTCTTACTCCAAGGAATAGAATCACGCTGTTGTGTGGATGCCTTATCGCTGCTGTTCCCCGACCCGGACTCCCAATATTCCAGAGACCCAGGACCTGTGGACTGTGAAATTAGGAACCAAAACAGACACACCACTCAGAGCAGAGCCGTGCTGGAGGCTGGAGAAGTGTTGAGATTTGCAGGCATTTAAAAACTAAACAATTAAAATCATCTGCAATGAGTGTGTTATGAATAAAATCATGGATTCACTGTAATTTTTTTCTAAATACAAAACAGATTCAGGCACACTGTGTGTTCCTGGTCCAAGCCGACCTTCCAGTTGGTCTCTCCAAGGTCGGCGCCCCCTCCTCCTGCCTGTTTCCACAAAAGCTTTAGCTGTTACGCCCAAATGCTGGCCACATCTCCTCACTCACCTGGTGAAACTGAATAACCATTTCCTCAGAAGTTATGTGCAACACACATTACAACCAGGGGATTTTGCACGTAGAGCTTCCTTGTTTTAACCTCACACCATCACATTATCGGGGTAGAGTCAGAAGGAGGCCGACGTTTCCATTAAATTGGAACTCACAGGGTCAGGCTTTCAGAGGTGGAAGGGACGTCAGAAGGATACTTCTCAGAGGGTCCATCGTACAGAGAGGAAACCAAGGTCATGTGGGGGACCCACCTGAGCTGTAGTCATGGAGTGGTTCTGTTACTGGGCCACGAACCCAGGTCTTCAGACTCCACAACCAGGTCTCGTCTTTGGAGATTACATGAACACTTTCTTCAATCCACATGAAAACTAGGTCACAAAACACAGGTTAAGAAACATTTCTGGTGTGTCCTCTGTTGCTTAGGATGACTCCAGTTGGAGAAGGCACTCTACTCTGTTTATGGAAAATCACCTCCTCAGAAACTTTTTTTTTTTTTTAGCCATCATCATGTGCTTATGGAAAAACATCATTCAATAATAAACACCAGAATAGACACTCGGGAGCAAACCAGAGTTCTTTGCTTTGTTTTTGGTTTTCATTTTCTTTTGTTATATAAAGAGGATTTTCATTCTTGCCACCCTCATAAACTGTGTTCAAACTTTTCATCTCCAGCTGCGTGTCTCTGAGCTAAAGACAACTGCTGCCTATACTGGACATAGAGCAGAAGTGGAAACTTTTTCTCTAAAGGGCCAGATAGTAAATATTCTAGCTTTGCAGGTCATATGGTGTATTAGTTAGGGTTCTCCAGAGACATAGGACCAACTGAATACACACACACACACACACACATATGTGTATATATATACACACACATATACACACATATACATATATATACATCTACATATATATTATATATACACATATACAATTTATTCTAAGGAATTGACTCACATGATTAGGAAGGCTGAAGGCTGAGCCGTCCCATGATCTGCCACCTGCAGGCTGGAGACCCAGGAAAACCCATGTAGTTTGAGGGCCTGAGTGTGGGAGAACCGATGGAGTCAATTCCAGGCCTGGTCTAAGATCCCGAGAACAAGGAGTAGTGAGGGCCGGAGAAGAGCCATGTTCCAGCTCAAGAGATCAGGCAGAGAGCAAAGTCAACCTTCCTCCACCATTGTATTCTATTCATGCCTTCAGTGGATTGGATGCACCCACCCACACTGGGGAGGGCCATCTGACTTAGTCCACCATTTAAATGTTCAACTCTTCCAGAAACATCCTTGCAGACACACCAGAAATAATGTTTAACCACATATCTGGGCATCCTCTGGCCCAATCAAGTTGGTGCATAAAACCAACCATTACATCTGGTCTCTGCTGCATCTACTCAACTCCACCCTTGTGGCATGAAAGCAGCCAGAAAGTATAAACAGGTAGGTATAGCTGTGTACTAATAAAACTTTATTTATAAAAATAGGCCATTGGCCAGATTTGTCAATCCCTGCTATAAATAATGACAATGTTTTTGTGTAGAACGCTGAGTGAATTATTGTGGCATCAGTGGATGTATTTTTGAATTTTACAAGCATTAATTAAGCACTTTAACATTTTACTGACTATCGACGTTTTGCCTGGGCAAGCTGTCATTGTGTAGTCATTTGAAAAAAACATTTCAAGAACACTGTCGTGAAGACTTGTAGAGAAGCCAACATTCAAGAGGAAGGGTCAGGAATGAGTGAGCTGTGAGTATTTCTTCCAGTCGTTCCACAAAGCTAAGAAGCACCTAGAAATACACCAATAACAATAAAGGTCTTGGCTACAGGAATTTTTTCTCTGTCACTACCACTTTGTGAAATAATTCTACACACCCTTCTTCCACATTGGGAATATTGCCAGTGGTCTCTAGAAAGCTGTGCCCCTGCATTTCTATGGCATGGATTGTGTTACATTCTTATAAAACACAGCACAATACCCATCCCCTGCTGCAAACTACATGTTAGGGAAAACCTGATCAAAAGTTTTCTGAAGGAATTTTCCAGGCACGGTGGCTCATGCCTGTAATCCCAGAACTTTGGGAGGCCGAGGTGGGTGGATCACTTGAGGCTGAGAGTTTGAGAACAGCTTAACTGAAGATGATGGTGAGCTCTGACACTGAGGTGATGCACGGGGTCTGGTTCCTGGCAGAGGAGAGAGTGTGGGACGGGAGAGGAAGGAACTACTTGAAGAACTGAGGAAGACAGGTGTGACCAGAGAGAGAAGAACCAGGAGGGGCAACGAGAGAGGTAACAGAGGTGATCACAGAAGGAAGAAAGATGAATGGGCCTCAGGTGAAGCCAGAGAAAACTCCAGAAGCCCACGAAGCACATTCCAACAAGCTCTTCAGGGATATTGTGCCCAAGAATTCCATACACAGCCCAGGTGTTGGCCACAAGAAAAGGCTGTGGAAAGACAGTGTCAGATGGAGAGGCCGGGAGGATGCAACACCCCTGCACCGCTATTCCATCTGCAAACTCCAGCCAGCAGAGGCAAGTTAGAGAAAGCAGCACAAGAGGGGTTGAACATGGCAGCAAAGGTGGTGATAAGTAAGAAACCCCATAAACAGAGGCATTCGGTCCAAGAAACTGTAAATGGGAATAATACAATCAATGCAGGCTGGGCGCAGTGGCTCACACCTGTAATTCCAGCACTTTGGGAGGCCAAGATAGGTGGATTGCTTGAGCCCAGGAGTTCAAGATCAGCCTGGGAAACACGGTGAAACCCCATCTCTACAAAATATACAAAAATTAGCCAGGAGTGGTGGTGCATACCTGTGCTCCCAGCTACTAGGGAGGCTGAGGCAAGAGGAACACCTGAGCCAGGGAGGTGCAGGTTGCAGTGAGCTGAGATCATGCCACTGCACTCCAGCCTGGGTGTCAGAGCAAGACCCCATCTCGAAAAATAAAATAAAATCAATGTAAATGCCAAAGCAATTATTCTTAGAAGGTACAAAAAAAAATCTCAATATACAAAATTGTGATTTAAGAACAGTCTGTTTCTAGAATCCCAAAGTCACAGAAATAGGACTGGTAAAGGGGAAAAGTGAATGCATGCTAAGTGTTTAATCACATGTGGGTTCTCCTCAATAGGAAGAAATGAGAGTGAGAACATCCCAAGTGCTGGCAAGCAGTGAGGGGTGTGTGCTTAAAACAAACAAACAACAAAAAAGCATAAAAACCAAAATAAAGAGGGGCAAAAAAAGACAATATGCATATAAGGTAGAATAGTACACTGCATTAAAAATCATGTTCTAGGCCAGGCGCGGTGTCTGATGCCTGTAATCTCAGCACTTTGGGAGGCTGAGGTGGGTGGGTCACCTGAGGTAAGGAGTTTGAGACCAACCTGACCAACGTGGCGAAACCCCATCTCTACTAAAAAATACAAAATTAGCCAAGCATGGTGGCAGGCACCTCTAATCCCAGCTACTCAGGAGGCTGAAACATGAGAATAGCTTGAACCTGGGAGGCAGAGGTTGCAGTGAGCAGAGATCGTGCCATTGCACTCTAGCCTGGGTGATAGAGCAAGACTCTATCTCAAAAAAATAAAATAAAATCATGTTCTAGATGAAAACCTAATGACGTGAAATTATTTCTATAATTTCAACTTTTATTTTAGATTCGGGAGTACATGTTCAGGTTTGTTACATGGATACATTATGTGCCAATGAGGTTTGGTGTACAAATGATCCCACCCCACCCAGGCAGTGAACACTATGGTTTCTCAACACTTGCTTCCTTCCCATCCTCCCCTAGTTAGAGTCTCCCTCTTTATTTCCATGTGTACCCAACGTCTAGCTCACACTTATCAGTGAGAACATGTGGTGTTTGGTTTTCTGTTTCTGTTAATTCACTTAGGATAGTGGACTCCAGCTGCACCCATGTTGCTGCATGGGACATGATTTCATTATTTTTAAGGCTGTGTAGTATTCCATGGTATATATGTACCATATTTTCTTATTCCAATCCACCATTGATGGGCACCTAGGTTGATTCCATGCCTTTGCCATTGTGACTGGTGCTGTGATGAACATACCAGTGCATGTGTCTTTTTGATAGGATGATTTCTTTTCCTTGGATGTATACCCAGCAATGGGATTGCTGGGTCAAATCTCCAGACTGCTTTCCATAGTGGCTGAACTAATTTACATTCCCATCAACAGGTATAAGGATTCCCTTTTCTCTGCTGCTCGCCAGCAGCGAACCTTTTTTTTTTTTTTTTTTTTTTTACTTTTTTATAAGAGCCATTCTGATTGGTGTGAGATGGTAGCTCATTGTCATTTCGATTCACATTTATATGAAAATTAATGATGTCGAGCATTTTTTCATGTTCGTTGGTCACCTGTGTGTCTTGAGAAGTGTGTGTTCATCACTTTTAAGCCTTTTGGCTAAGATCAAGTGTGAGAAGTGTGTGTTCGTGTCTTTTGCCCACTTTTTAATGTTCTTCATTATTGCTTGTTGAATTATTTAAGTTCGTTATCGACATAGTGTGGATGTTGTCTCTGCCCAAATCTCATATAGAAATGTCATCCCCAGTGTTGGAGGTGGAAGCTGTTGGGAGGTGACTGGATCATGGGGGCAGATTTCTCATGAAAGCTTTAGCAGCATTTCAGTTGGTACCGTCCTCATGATAGTGGGTCAGTTATTGTGAGATCTGGTCGTGGCAGAAGGAGAAAGGGGAGCAGGCACACCCCATGGTGAAAACAGGGACAAGAGAGTACAGTAACAGACTATAAGCTTCCTGAGGCCTCCCCAGAAGCAGATGCTGCCATGGTTGCTGTACAAGTGTATTCTTGCATTGCTATAAGGAAATACCCAGGCTTAGGTATTTCCTTATAGCAATGCAAGAATACACTAATACACTTACAGAAAAAGGTCTGGATACTAGACATTTTTCAGATGCATACTTTGTGAATATTTTCTCCCATCCTGTAGGTTTTCTGTTTACTCTGTTGATAGTTTCTTTTGCTGTGCTGTGCAGAGGCTCTCTAGTTTAATCAGGTACCACTTGTCAATTTTTGGTGTTGTTGCAATTGCTTTTGAGTACCTAGTCATAAATTCTTTCCCAAGGCCAGAATGGTATTTCCTAGGTTTTCTTCTAGGATTTGTGTAGTTTGGAGTCTTACATTTAAATCTATAATCCATCTTGAGTTACTTTTTGTATACAGTAAAAGGTATGGGTCCAGTTTCACTCATCTGCATATGGCTAGCGGGCTCTCCCAGCACCGTTTATTGAATAGGAAGTCCTTTCCCCATTGCTTATTTTCGTCAACTTTGTAGAAGATCTGATGGCTATAGGTATGCATCTTTATTTCTGGCTTCTCTATTCTGTTCCTTTGGTCTATGTGTCTGTTTTTGTGCCAGCACCACGTTGCTTGGGTTTATAGCTTAAAGTTGGGTAATTTGATGCCTCCAACTTTGCTCTTTTTGCTTAGAATTGTCTTGGCAATTTGAGCTGTTTTTTGATCCCATATGCATTTTAGGATTGTTTTTTTCTAATTCTGTGAAAAACGACATTGGTAGTTTGATAAGAATAGCATTGAATCTATAGATTGCTTTGGGCAGTATGGCCATTTTATGTTATTAATTCTTTCAATCCATGAGCATGGAATATTTTTCCATTTGTTTGTCATCTACTATTTCTTTCAGCAGTGTTTTGTAGTTCTCCTTGCAAAGACATATTCCTAGGTGTGTGCGTGTGTGTGTGTGTGTCTATTATAAATGGGATTATGTTTTTGATTTGACTATCAGCTTGATTATTACTGGTGTATAGAAATGCTACTGATTTTTTGTATATTGATTTTGCATGCTGAAACTTTATTGAAGTACATATCATTTCTAGGAGGCTTTGGTGGAATCTTTAGGGTTTTCCAAGTATAAAATCATATCATCAGCCAAAAGAGATAATTTGGCTTCTTTCCCTATTTGATGCCTTTTATTTCTTTCTCTTGCCTGATTGCTCAGGCTAGGACTTCCAGAACTATGTTGAATAGGAGTGGTGAGAGTAGGCATCCTTGTCTTGTTTCAGTTCTTAATGGAAATGCTTCCAGCTTTTGCTCATTCAGTATGATGTTGGCTATGGGTTTGTCATAGATGGCTCTCATTATTTTGAAGTCTATTCCTTTGAGACCTAGTTTGTTGAAGGTTTTTTATCATAAAAGGATGTTGGATTTTATTGAAAGCTTTTCCCATGTCTATTGAGATGATCATATGGTTTTTGGTTTTCATTCTTTTACGTGGTAAATCACATTTATTGAGTTGTGTATGTTGAACCAGCTTTGCATCCTGGTACTGAAGCCTACTTGATCACGGTGAATTAACTTTTTCATGTGCTGTTGGATTCAGTTTGCTAGTATTTTGTTCAGGATTTTTGCATCTATGTTTATTAGGGATATTGGCCTTTAGTTCTCTTTTTTCAATGTGTCTTCACCAGGTTTTGGTTTCAGAGTGATACTAGCTTCAGAGTATCAGTTAGGGAGGAGTCCCTCTTCTTCAATTTTTTGGAATAGTTTCAGTAGAATTGGTACCCACTGTTCGTGTACGTCTGGTAGAATTCAGCTACGGCTCCATCTGCCCTGTTTTTTTTGTTTTGTTTTGTTTTGTTTTGTTTTGTTTTGTTTTTTGGTAGGTTTTTTAAATTACTGATTCAAGTTTGAAACTTGATATTGATCTGTTCAGAGTTTTGATTTCTTCCTGATTCAATCTTGGGAGGTTGTGTATTTCTAGGAATTTATCCATTTCCTCTAGATTTTCTAGTTTGTGTGCATAGCTGTGTTCAGAATAATCTCTGGGAATCTTTCTTATTTCTGTGGGTCCAGCTGTAATGTCACCTTTCTCATTTCTTACCATGGTTATGTGGAGCTTCTCTCTTTTTTTCTTTGTTAATCTAGCTAGCAGTCTATCAATCTTATTTCAAAAAAACAACTTTTGGTTTTGTTGATTCTTTGTGTGGATTTTTGGATCTCAATTTATTTCAGTTCTGCTCTAATTTTAGTGTTTCTTTTCTTCTGCTAGCTTTGGGATTCGTTTATTCTTGCTTTTCTAGTTCCTCTAGGTGTGACTTTAGACCCTTAATTTGAGATAACTTTTTGATGTAGGTGATTAACACTATAAACTTTCCTCTTGACACTGATTTTGCTGCCTCCCAGAGATGTTGGTTATATTGTGTCTCTGTTTTCACTTATTTCAAAGAATATTTTTATTTCTGTCTTAATTTTATTGTTTACCCAAAAGTCATTCAGGAGCAAGTTATTTAATTTCCATGTAATTATGAGGTTTTGAGAGATCTTCTTCGTATTGATTTCTATGTCTACTCCCCTGTGGTCCAAGAGTATGGTTGGTATGATTTCAATTTTTTTAAAATGTAATGAGACTGGTTTTATGGCCGAGCACTTAGAGTACTGGATGTGCACGTGAGAAGAATGTCTATTTTGTTATTAATGGGTAGAGTATTCTGCAGATATCTATTCGGTCCTGTTGGTCAAGTGATGCAAAATTTTAATGTTTATTGGGAGTTGTTTTCACTGGGAATTAGTTTAACTTACAAGCTGGAGAATGTAAGTCTTTACACACTCAATGAAAAACAAAGATTAGAAAACCATATTATATTGAAATTTCATTCTGGCCGGGCGCAGTGGCTCAAGCCTGTAATCCCAGAACTTTGGGAGGCCGAG